AGGCCTCAGCTCAGCACAAGGAGATTTCAGAGGACCATCCCATAGAATGCACCAGCTGCTGCAGTCATCCCTCTGGGATCCCAGATGCAGAACATACATTCAGAACAGGGAGTTCCATAAAGAAAATCCTTCTACAGCAAAGTTTGTGACCTGGACCATTTCTTCCTTGACTGCACACCTCCTTTTGTGTGTTGGGGTAGGAGCCCTGGCACAGTGGAGACTCTGCACTGCCAAACAGCTCCAAGTTTAGACAGCAAAAAACATCACTGAGCCCAAAAACATCAATGCATTTGATTCCCAAATAGAAGGCAGCAGGTTAGTACCTGCACGGGCTTTTCTAATGGAGCAGCAGGATCTCTGCAGATAGCAGTGAACAGCTATCTGAAATAACTGTTCCAGTCCTCTTGTAGCATAAGAATTGCTTTAAAATAACATAATGCTTTTGAACATTCGGCCTCCATGATTGCTTAACAGAATAATTCCCAAAGGTTAATGAGGTTTTCATGAAAATAATTCATTTTAACTCTCTTTAAATACACCTCTTTGCTGCCTTTTTTTTTTTTGCATTAGCAATATAAATAGAAGCTTCTTAGCTTGTATTTTTCAGACCACTCATTGTTTAAAATACTTCCTTTTTGTTTCCTATTACTTCTTTCTAAACAAACCCTTGTTTTCAGCCTCCTCCATCTCTCTAATCATTTAGTTGCCAGTTTCCAGAATTACTTTTCATCAGTATGGTTTAAGAGATAGGGCAAGAACAGAATTACAGGTGAATTGCTCGTGTTGATTTATGGATGAGAGTTGTATTTTCTATTCTGGGCTCCTCCTGGCCCCCACGGTCTCACATCATGTTTTGTTTTCACAGGATCCCTTCACAACACACTGTCCCACCAGGCTGATCATAGTAAATAATGACCTAAATAGTTATGGTTAATTTAGAGCCCTGCAAAGCCTACAAATACTTCCAATTATTCCCTTGAATGTGTGCCCAGCCTTGCATTTGTCAGCACTGCATTTCATGTGCATCACACTGCCCATTTATTCACTTTGTTAACCCAGGGCAATCACAATCTTCCCTAGTTCTGATTAACTGAAGTCACTCTCTGTGAACAGCAAACAGTGCCACCCCTCATGTTCATCCCCATCCTCAGGTGGCACCAGTTGAGTGGAGTGTTGGGGCACTACACCATTAGCCTTTTGCCATGCTCAAAAAATTGAACATTTAATCCTGCTCTACCCCTTAGTTTCTAATGCAGAACTACTTCAGCTCCCACTTCTTTAAAACTCGTTTGCTTTAATGGCTTCTTGGTAGGGATATTTTTATAAGGACTTTTTAATTTTTAAATCCAAATAAATTACATCAACCATTCCCTCTAGTCTCAACAGCTGCACGATTGACTTAATTTTAGCATGTTAGAGAGGCACAGTTTCCTTGCCCTAAGCAGTTACATCTCTTTTGGCAATGTTTTCTCTGCACTTTGTGCTTAAATGTGGATCTGCTGGATGTCAGACCCAAAAAGCACTTAACTGTCCAAAGTGAAACTTGGGTGGAATTCAGGCACTGATATCCCAGGTACAACAGGCATTATGTCAGGGACAGAATTGATTCTAACCTTGCAGACATGTATATTTTTGTCTCTGAAGACCATGTTCAGTGCCCTGTGAGCCCACTGCTAGAACCCTTCCTGAGGAGAGACTCAACCATACCTGAAATGACCCAGGACAGGGTTATCTCCATGAAAAAGCCCAAACAAATGCAAGTTTATACAAAATAGTAAAGGTTTCCAAGCACATTATTGATTGCTGGAAGAGCCTGGACCTTTTTCAAAAGCTGGGGTGGAAGAAGAGTACAGACAGATGGAGAAGAAAATAAAAGGCCACTATAAATCAATGAGGTGCAGGATTATTTTTGCCCTTTCTCATTGCTCTCCATTACAGCTGCTGCCCCCTCAAGGCAAGACAGGAAAATCTCAGTGGTGTCAATCTGCCTGGGTAATTTGACAAAATATTTCAGGGAAGCATTTCTAACTCTTCAAACTTGTTGCTTGGTGTTTATGGCCTGTCACTGCCAGATCACAATGTGCTCACAGAAAGCAGCCCAGGAATGGATCATTTCTAGCATGTCTTGAAATTTTCAAAGCACACTCTCAAAACCCAATTTAACCAGAACAACCCACTTCAACGGACCAAAACTCACAAAAATCACGGAAAATGAATGGTCAAAACTACCAGCAACAGAAAACTGATGAGAGACTTGCCTCAGCACAGGTTTCCCATAAGTTTCCTGAAGCCATGAACACACCCTTCCCTGGGAACAGACTGATTCCAGAGGAGCTGTTAATGCACAAGTGCTGTACAACTCAGCAGCACTCCAGTCCAGCCTTAGAAGTTTTAAAAATATCTGCAGAGACAATGTTTGCCTCATATTTAAAAGATTACAGTCCTGAATGAATACTAAAATCAAGCAAAAGTATAAATAAAAGTGACAGTGATAAAGGCTAACCTAGAGTTAAGGACAAAGTGCTGTGTGCTTTGTGAGGACCTTTCATGAGCCAGTTCACGGTGAGCACACAGGAGTTGCTCTTAATGCAGATGCAGAAAGTTCAAGAAGCTCAATTCTGACTATTCTGACATCTGAAGTAAGCAGGTAGCTGCTGCAGGGGGTTTCTTCCAGGTCTCAGCAAAAGTTTGATGCAGTTAACCAGCACTTAGGAGATTACTTGGTCTCCCCGTGTCAAGATAAGAACATGTTACAGGCTGCTTTATAGTTATAAGTGTTCTAATTAGGTCAACTTGATTATTGTTCCGTGGTTTGATAGATTCTGTATTTAAAGTAATTTCAAATACTAATTTTTAGACCTTTTCCGTGAACTAGTAAATCAAGTGCAATTTATTCACGGAATTATTCTTTTCTTTCTTAATGCTTCTTCCCCCTGGCTTGTAACTTTAATTAGAACCTGCTCTCTCTTCACAGTGGTAATGGTAACAGTTGTCACTAGAGTACAGAGGCACAGATTCATCTCATAGTGGCACTTTGACATTAAAACCCAACAGTCTTGCTGGCTATGCATCTGGGAATACCATCCACTAATGCTTTATTTCCCTGCCACCCTGAGCTCCACACTCCAAACACTGACAATCTGATTATTTTTTAACCATCCAATAACGCATTTTCAAATTGTACAAAAAACTGCTTCATTTGAAGATAAATACCTGCCTGAAAAGGTTATCCAGCCCATCAAGATCTCTTTTTTATTACCATAGATTCTCCCAAGGCAGTATTGTTTCTTGAATAATTATTGATCTAAGCAATTGTGTGCTAAAGCAGTCTGATTCACTCATTAAACATACACACAGAAAAGCACTTGGTTGCCCTGGTAAAAACAAACAACTCCTCTTCTTTCTGCCTTCCCTAAAATATGACGATTACATTGAAATGTAATCAGTTAATATTTGATTTGCATTTGCCAGGAAAAGGAAACATCAAATATATTTCTTTGGAGCAGAGGAATTAGGAGCTAGAAAATCATCCAAATAACACCAGCCTTGTTTGGTTTGTTTCTTGACACACTGATTTATAAGTTTTAGTAATTTGAAAGGAGTCTTCTAGCAACTAGCTGCAAGCAGTGAGCTCCCAAAAGCTTGCCAACCTATTATTTGGATAAACTTTTCCTTCCAATAAAAACTAATTCTTTTTTCATCGTGTGATATAGAAAATTGTATCTGATTAAATGTATCAGGAACAGAATAGCTTTCAAGGTCTCTGTTCACTGCACAGACACAGACAGATTGCCCTTGAAAGTCCCTTCCAACCCAAAACCATTCTATGATTCTGACTTACTGAAGGCATCCAGTTGAAAAAAGCCAGTACTGGGAACGAAATTTAATTCACTAACTTCTACATTTGAGAGATCAGGAAGATACCTGGTCACCTTTGGTGACACAACCCTCTGTGAATATTTTTCTGAGATACTGGAAGATTGTCACAACCATCCCATTGCAGTGATGAGTCAGCACACAAGCAGGAGTTCTGCTGGAACAGGGGGTGGCAGAGCGTGCAGGATATGCCCAAATAAGTTTTTGCCTCAATTTATGCCAATAGAAAATTAGCATATTTTGATTGAGGTCTGTGAGATTATTCCAGTCCTGCACCAGTTAACAGGAGCAGAGTGAGCTTTGCTGGCTGGTGCCACCTATTTCCTGCCACTTCCCTCTGCTGCTCACCCCCTCTGTTTTATTACCTTATCACAGAGCCAGTGCTGTTCCACATCCATGCACTCCTTCTTGTAGCATCACTGCTAAATTTAATGCTCACTACTTAATCAATTTTCTCTCAACAGGTAAGGAATAATTGAACAGTTGGGGGGTGGGGAATGACAAGATTGAGTGTGTTGTTTCCTCCTAGGAAACAAGACAACTCACCCATTTATGTTTATGCATAATTCAATTTATTCCATTAGCCAAATGACCCTAAGAGTAAAGAAATCCACATCAACCCATCCAGTTGGTTGAAAATAACAGGTACCCTGTACTGCAAGCCCAGCACTGGGCCACAATAAATAACATTTTCAACCAGAGGAAAAGTGAAGAGAGCAGAGGACAGGAACTTTTGCAACATATTTCTCTGTTGCCATCTTTTGTTCTGCCATCAGCAGCAGATTGCTGTTCACAACAGCAAAGCCCACAGTGAAGCCCCAGTTAAATCAATGGCAAAAGTTTTTTGCTGACTTCAGTGAGACTGTGATTTCTCTTCTGAATCATCAGGAGAAATCTTTCTGTATTTCAGTTTGTTGATTGTTAGACTCAGGTACTGGAAATTAAAAATAAAGGCAAAAAATGCCTCAGTTTTTCAAATTCGTTTCCAACCATGGAAAAATGCTTTGTTTCTCTTCCCCAGGTGTAACCTTGCCCAAATGCAGCCCCCAGTAAGTGCTGGCTCACAACAGCAGTCGCTGTTTTTCGCCCACTAGATCAATACCTGTCTAAAAGTATTTACTCACCAAAAGGGCTCTGATCCTTCTCTTTGTCACCCTTGAACTTCTGTTCTGCTCTTGAATTTTTTTTTGCTTTTTGACACGGGTTCTTCTTTTATTTCCTGGCTCTTGCTAGCCTCTAATAGGGTGTTTTTCAGTTCTTTGCTCTTCTTTGCTCTGACATTTATTATAGAGTATACTTCATAGCTTTTCCGCTTGTCTAATCAGAGGGTTGGTCCAGCACTGAAATTGCAGCTGTTTTAAAATGCTACCTATAAACACACACTTTATCTTCAGTTTCTGTTCACAGCAGCCTAAAGGAGACAAGAGGATGATGATCAAAATAGGAAATGGAGAAGACTGATGGCAGTCTTGTTTTATAGAAACAGAAGAAGAATAGAAGGGCAAGCAAGACATCCAGGTAATCCACTCTCTATTGGAATAAGGCAGAGGTTATTGTATCATACTTCTGTGAATGTATTCAACCAAACAACCCATATTCTGACTAGCAAAGACTAAAGTGATGAAAGAAGCTGGAATAAAAGGATATTAAATAAGCCCTGGATAGTTGACTGCAATATTCACAGCCTTTGGAATCCTTTATCTTTCCTGCAATTGGCCACTGACACACCATTTGTCTTTAGAGGAGCTTGTGCTTTCGTCCAGCTGTCTGCAAAACAGATAAACCATGTTCACAGTCAGCAGAGACTTAAACCCTGCATTCTTAAAGCAGTATCTGGAGCAAAACAGCAGCCCTTGACTTGCTCCAGTCCAGCTGAAAGCTTTTACAGAGATGGAGATGCAACAGGAAAATTAATGCAGTCACCCTCCTGACATCCCGGGGTTGATGTCCCTGCTCTGAATCAGCTGGGAGGGATTTAACAACAGAATCCTCATCTCCAGGGAGAATGAGCCAATTCCAGCAGCACTGGGTGCCCAGAGCACATTCCCAGTGCCCACTCCTGGGCCCTGACACGAAATGACCACCAGAGTGCCTGGTTTGGGAATGAGTCTCACAAGAGAGGTTTCTTTCACCTAATGCCCCGAGTTTTATGTCACATACATCCCATCTGAGAACTTCTCTGCTACAGCTCATTCCAAGAAGGGGAACAGGGGCTGATTTCACATTCCAGACAGCACAATCTTTACCTCTGCTCTGACCTCACTTCTCCTCATGCTGCTGTGCTTCCAGAGGCCACCAACCTCTGTTCTACTGCACAGAGGCAGCAGCATTTACAGCCCAGATTTTGACATGAGACACATATATGAATTTAGAACAAAACTGAAGGGAATCTCTGTCAATGTAGCTGAAATAATAGGAATATCTCTTTTTTTTCCCAAAGGTATCATTTTAGCATATCTTGACACAAAATGGGAACTTTGACAGTGCTCTCTTACATAACACAGTGTATTAATTAATTCACTTTTCCAGATTTCTAGTGGCAGTTACCTATTTCAACCTTAGCAACTAGTCATACTGATATAAATACAAAGAGTACATGGTGCACAGTGTATGATCAGAAGCATATAATATAATTGAAGTGTAAAATGCTCCAACAATAAAGCTCCAATAAAAGTATTGTTTAGTTGTTGGCACAACTGGTGCATTTATAGTTGCATCCAATGACTCTGAAATGAATGCCTGTGAATATTTTTTTCAATGTGGTGCATATTGTTTTTCACTTATTAAGCCATAGGTTAAGACCACAGAAAGGAATATTTTGAACTACAAATATATTGTAGCTTCTACTGTTTCGTGGGGTTTTTTTACTGGAGGGGTGTGTGTAGAGGGGATAATGAAAACCTTTTACCTGTGCATGTCAGACACGTGATGAACAACTGCACAGAAACAAAAGACAACCTCCTTCCCATGTAAATCCCTGTATTTTCTGCTCAAAGTCTGTTGAAAGATTAGATAAGTTGATATATAAAATCTGAAATGTCATATTGGGCCCTTCATTCTACTGCTGTAGAAATTAGTGCTGAAGTCAATACAAGTTCTACCAATGCATCTTTAACTTTGCTTAAAACCTGGTTTTCCACCACTTGTCTGCCACAAACCATCACACCCCCTGCCCTCCCCAAAGAAATATTAAAGTTAATTAATTCATGCAAGATCAGGTAAGAGAGAAATCCCTGGCTTTGGATTTAAAGGTAGCTCAACCAATTTGACCACCCAAAGCTTGAACAAAAAATAAAACATTGCAGAATCTCTCCACAGACCACCAAGAGACAAATTTCAGTCCCTCAGGGCTCAGGACTCCATTATTAATAGTGTTCTGTAGGTTACCAGCTGATTTGTCCATATTATTTCAAGGTGACTGCATTTTTCTGTAGCATATGCCTGACACCACGGGTACCATTACTGCTACCATGGAATGCCAGTTTTCATGGGTAATTAATTGACAAATGACAGCCAACTCCTTCTTAGCTGCTCCATAAGTCTGTTATTAACACATTTAATTCAATAAAGAGTGGGACAGTGCAAACCACAGTGAAGGGCAGAGGATCAGTTTGTTCAGTCTCATCCCTGTGCTCTCTTACCATGGGTCACCTGCACTCAGAACACCAGAACTAAAACCAACACCAGCCATTCCTTTCCCAGAAGAACTTAAAATTAACATGAGGAAAGGACAGAAATCTTGGAGGCCTGTCCCTTCAGGTTATTCCCTGCAGCTGCAACATAAAATATGAGGAAAGTGAACGCTCTGAACGCAACGTGAGCCCCTGGAAAATAAAAATTTACCGAAGGGAAGCGGGATGACAACAGAGCAACGAAATTCACAGAAGAAGAAACAGAAACAGAATTTTGAAAAAAACAACCCACCAAGAACCAAACAAACCAAAACCCAAACATTGAACCATGCTGAGAATTTTAATCCTGCAGCAAAATAAGCACAAGTATTTGTCCAGTGAGAGATTGAATCATGAAGACATAATGGCACTGAAGGAAGGATCCGAAACACATCCTCCTTCTGTGGTGTGAAGAACAAAGAGCTGCTGGAAATATTTATTGTAACTGATTCAGTGTATTTTAAAGTAAACCAATCCTGCCAAATTTCTAATAAAAATCATCCATTAACATCGATATTACAAAAATCTCCTTTTTACTTTTATGAACCCAAATTCAACTTTGAAAAGGGGGTACCTAAAAACATTTGTTAGTTTGATGCTGTTGAGAAGAGGTTTCACAACAGCTGCATAAAACCAATGTAAAATGAAGTTATAAAATTAACATATGCATTTCTGAAGTGTGTTAGAATTACACTGACAATGCCAACTACAAGTCCTGTCCTTCCCTGGAAAACCTTTAAAGAAAGTCTCCCCTAAACTGTCATTCCATACCTAAAAAATAATACAAAGCTTGTCTAAATGTTCTTTATTATAAAATAAACTGAATTTACTGACCTTCTGACAGAGGCATCTCCAAGAGGAATCCATGTGACTGAGTTTTTGGTAGAATGCCAAAAGGAAAGGTGTCTTTAGGTAGCTAGATAGCTTTAAAGAATTTACTGCAGTGAAAAGCTATTGGCCACGTTCTTGACTGAGTCTTTATTACAGTCTTGCTATAACATTGTGGCATTATTGATTAGAAATTACTGTGACTTGACTCAGATTTAGGAATACAGTCAGGCAGCTCTCTAACATCAACCTTGTAGAGCTTTTTACTGATTGTTTCAATATCAAATAAATAAATGATAACCGAGGCAAGGAATTTCAATTAATTACACTTTTTTTTTTTTTTTTTGCTGTACCAGCAATTTTTTGATGAAAAAGTTTTGGGATTCCTGCTCAGAACAGAATGAATACAGATTAGCTGCAATTGTGTTTTCACTTCTGATCTCAACTTTGAACTCTTCTTTTACCTATCTTTATTGAGATATGTCAGACCCTCTTCTCATATACATCTTCAAGCTCGTGGGGAGGTTCAAAGTCACATTAATTCTGCTGTATTAATCCACAGAACACAGACAAATTCAATGTGTACCTACTGGTGCAGCTCAGAAGTGAAGACATTTGGGAGAACACAGAAAAATCTCCCTCAAGACTTTTGTTTTAAATACTTTTCCAAGATGATGAGACAGATGCTTTCACTAATGATTATTTTGTTTAACTGTTCGTGGTCTCTCCCCTGGAGCAATTTGTCTGAGGAGAGACTTGGATGGGCCAGTCTCTGGTACCACGTTGCAGAGGAGCAAAGTCCTTCTGCAGGGAGAGGAGGGACCAGCACAGGCACCCCCAGCAAACTGGGGACCAGCTCTCTGGGGAAAGTTTGTTTGAAAGCTTTTAAAGGGTTTTTTAAACAGCTGCTTCCTACCAGGCCCTTTGCAGGCTTCGGCTCCAGGAGCAGCTGGGAGGGAAGCACAGCTCAGATCCACACTCAGGGCAAAGCTCCAGGGCTGCCTAATGAGGGTTGGGATCTCCCTGCCCCTGTAAGACACGAGGAGCAGCCAAGCAATAAACAACTGGAATAATTCTGTGCTCAAACAACGGTGTCTGGTGTCAGTTTAGACACTGAGTGAAGACATCTGCCCACAGAGCATCCCAGATGGGACTTCAGGGGACCATTCTCAGAGACAGAGCAACTGCTATTACATGTCTAATTCCTTCAAACAGAATACAGAAATTTACAGTGTCTCCAGATTTATTAGTTGAGGCCACGATCCTTAATACATCACACAATATTTAATATTAATCACTGCAAAATGATATGCAAAAATAAGGACTGGCACTCCTGCTGATCTGAAGACATTAGTAAAATATGTAACAGTGCTTGTGAACCCCACAATTTTCAGCAAATCCAAAAGGCTTTCATTCATTTGACCTCATCTTAGAACATCTTGCCTCCCAGATATTTTTCTGTTAGAGACACACAACCTTATGAAGAGGTTTAGCAGGAAAAAAGTGAGATATTAAAACCTTTGCTATTTTATATTCAAATACATTATCCTTCTACCAAGCAAGGAGATAATGGTAAAAATCCTTTTATGTTTGTATTTAATTCTGTGGTTTTAATTGGAAATATTGTGAATTATGAGTCTTCATCTCTGCTTCAACCACATCTGTATTCATAAAAGCATAAAATAGTTACCATACAAGTGCTATGCCATACTATACCATACCAGAGGAATTCTGTCAAATTTAAAAGAACATATTACAGTGCAGTGTCAAAACTAAATACAACATATAAATACACATCTCACACCTCTTTTAAAGTTCCAGCCTTTATTCTCAAAACATCAGTGGCTTTTTTAACGTCCATATCTGCAGAGACTGTCACTTGCAAAAGGTCTGGTGCACAGAAGTGGAAACC